GCAAGCCGCGCCACCACTTACGCGGCTACGAGCACCAAGACCTGGCTCTAGAGCCGGACCCACAGCGGGTGCCAGCAGCCACGGTGTTATTGTAGGCAGACATGCTGCTGAACCTGCTGCAGGGCAACCTGCCTCGAGCGGAGCTGGGAGTTCGGATGATCACCTCCGACTGCCGCAGGTTAGAGTCAGACGTGGCCGACAGCAAGGTGGATATCCACCTCCTCCGCCACCAGCGGGTAACCCTGCTGCGCGACCACGACTTCCAGACTGGTCACGGTTCGACGTGCAAATCAGTCTATAAAATTTACGAAGCCTTGACCCAAGCGTGGTAACACGCGGGCTGCAGAAGCTACACTTGCGTTGGTTCCATGCGAAAGAGCCTGAGACGATACTCGTCTTAACCAAGATAGGTCTGGACAACGTCAGACTCAACCTGGTCAAAGGTGTGTGCGACGCATGTCGGGAGTGCAGGGCTTGGGGCAAGCCTGGGCATGCGGTCATGCCATCTACTGCGCTGCCTGGCAAATTCAACGAAGGAGTGGAATTTGACCTGATGTTCTACAATAGCACAATATATATATCATATCATCGATCGTTGCATTCGTCATGATACTGGAATGGGGATACCAGACAAGACGATGACCAGTATCCTGGATGCATACCACCAGTACTGGATGCAGTTTGGACCTGCAAATGCACTCTACTCCGACGGAGAGGGTGCCCTCAACAACGACATTACGAAAGCAGTCCTTAGGCAAGGGGCACTGGGCTCAGGAGACGTGCGCGTGGACAACGCGCTACGACGATCGAAGCCAGACATTGCATATTGCGCCGTCTACTTCATGTCATGGAAGCCGAACCCAACAGGTTAGACATACCTCTTGTGTTCACACGACTACTGCATGATGCCTTGTTTGCCACCAGCACGTTCACCTTCTACAACGAGGTGTCTCCATGCAGCGCTCTGTTTGGACGGCAACCAGCAATGCTCCCTGACCTACCTGTCCTGGATCACGAACAGCCGACGGAATCGTCGGATCATTCTCGTGAGCAGATGATACGCAAGGTATGCATTGAAGCTATCACACAGGCCGCAGCAGTAGCCAAGGTCAACCGTGCATTACGCATAAAGATAATTTTTACTGGTCAGCATTACTACGATGAAGGAGATTTAGTTGATCACCATCGCCCCACAACCACGAAGGGCGACTGGGGAGGCTGGAACGGCCCATTCCCAGTTGTAAGGAACGGTCCCGAAAGGGGCCAAGTCATCAGTCGAGTGGGAAACTGCGATGTTCAGGTACAGTGCGGCGATGCGCGACATTCACTCTATCTTGAAGCTTTAATAACCAGAGAAAATGGCTCCGACAACACTGCGCTGCGGACAGTGTTGACGTTCGTGGCCAGTTTACCTGCGGGGGGACCTGCTATGACATTTGGCGACGCAAGAAGGGGATGCTTCATATGGCAAATGCAAGCCGTCTATCTCCTGAAGGTACATCTAGCTTTGCAATACTTTATCAGAAACGTCTTTCGCATTGAGAGCGTAGTTTCGGCTGGGTTAGCCGCGGGTATCCATAAGCTACCTCCGGTCGCTTACGCTGACAGTTGCACATGGGTCCATTATGCAGCGATGTGAATCCAGGATTTCACTATTATGAAGCAGAAGGCGCCGCTCTGAACATGCACGATGTAACTGGATCAGCACATTCTAGAATCATCCAGTGCCTGAAGGCCGCCAAACCTCAAGCGGGCTTTGACCTGGACGTGACAAGGTTTGAGGAATTGGTGGATGCACCGACGCCGGATGGAACCGCAAGAGAAGCCTCAGAAGCCGAACCGCCACATGAGGATGGGCGGCTTCCTAGGATTGCTGAGGAATCGGAGGCTGATCTCGACTCGCATGTCATGGAAGTGTGGTATGCAGAACTACAAGATGAAAATGGTCTGCTGGAGGCAACTCCACTAGGGGATCTTTTCGCGATGCCCACGCGGATGATTCCAGACCGTAGTGTGTTGATTACTGCAGCTGAAGAACAGCGGGGGCGCCTGCCTAAGTGGGGACACCCACGCGACTCCGACGCCGAGGAGACGTGTCATGTCCCATTGTGCTCCATTGTCGAAGACTGCAGCTACGGACTGGACTCAGACGAAGATGGACAATTTGTAGAACCCTGCTGCACGGCAGGAATGTCAAGGTAGTCCTGTCCGAACAACAGCACATGATATTATACCGACCGTGTGACCACTGTGCGAGTATACGTTGCCGCCGCTTCATAGTGTCAAGGAAGACGACCTCCTCGCGAAGGCTGACATCCAGGCGAATTCCGAGAAAGTATCGAAGGCTCTCCTACACAGAATTCAAGACATGGTTTGGCAACAAGTGTTTCAAAATGCAAGACATACCTCAAGCGTCAAACATCATGACTTCGAGGTATGTGTACACATGGAAGTTTGTGATGAGCGAGAATGGCGATATGGAGCGCACCAGCAGATTACGCCTGGTGTTTCGAGGCTTCATGGACCTTGAAGCCTTCGACGTGGAAGCCTTGTCGGGGGCAGCGCGGCGGTCATGCCAGAGACTGTTCGCGAGCACGGCAGCGTGCAATAAGCAATGGGTCATTGTTTCCGTCGACATCAACATGGCCTTCCTGATAGGGTTGACCTACCAGGAACTTGCTGAGGCAACTGGGGAAACAAAACAACGTGTGGCGTGTTTTACTTTGCCGCCTGGATCGGCCACGGTGCTTCGGACTCTCCCAGGACTCGAACACTACGACGAGTCAACGCACTGCTTGCAGTGCCTTAAACCATGCACTGGCACCAAAGACGCACCCCGAGCTTTCTCACTTAAGCTCACATGGACCACGAGAGGTTTCGGTCTCCGACCCACGTCCTACGACGAGGAGTTCGAGACGAGCAGCAACTTGCTTACGGCCAAACGTGTTGACGATATCAACATGGCTGGTACTGAGGACACCATTGACAAGTATGTCAAGTGCGTAGAAGACATTTTTGGTAAGTGTAAACTCAACGAGCACAAATGCACCAGTTGTGCTGTGAGATATACCAAGGATGAGGGCGGCAATGTTACTTTGGACCGAGACGAATAGATCAAGCAGCTCCGTCCCATACAACATCCTGAACTTACCGGCGCCGGCGCTGACGCTCAGGCATCCAAGATGGTTGCAGACGTGTTCGTCAGCCTCAGAGGCGCGCTGGCGTATGCATCAATCACCCAGGTGTGGTTGATGGTGTATGTTGTATCTCTACAGCGTGTCCAAGAACCGACCAACATACAAGTGCGACGACTGAGCGCGATCACCAGGAATTTGCAGGCTGGTCCCAAGAAGATCGTCTATCAGGCGATGACTCCTACGGGCGAGGTCGACCTGCACAGCGACTCAAGTCACCGACGCCTGAGTTGAGACGCCGATGACGACGTCAAAGGATGTGGTATTCGCGGGGCAAACCTGCTACGGCGTGGAAACACGCCATCTGGTAAGCCCGTTGTCCACTTGATCGATGCGTACTGCAAGTCTCACCGCTTGCAGGTCCGCTCGAGCTATGCAGCAGAGACACTAGCAGCTGCCCGTAATCTGGACTGTTACCCCACGATCGTGACTCTGCACGAGCTCCACACAGGGCCGCTCGCTCCCACTCAGTTGAAAGACATACTTGGGTTGGGTGGCCTGAGTATCAAGGTCACTTTGACCATAGATGCTGAGTCGGTTTTTACGTCCTTGTCAAGAAAAGATTTACAGGGGCCGACTGAGTGTACCCTTTTAGGACACATCAGCAGGATACGGCAGATGATGGGGCGTGGCATCCTGCACAGTATTCCGTGGCGCGACACCCGCGATATGGCTGCGGACGGTCACGCCAAGGGGAGCATCGACAGAAATATGCTCCTGCAGGTCATGGGAGTTATAGGATCCTTCAAACATGATTTAAAGAGTCATACTCCCTATCGGGCTGGCCAGACATCCTGTTCTGTGGCCGCCTGAGGAGTATCTTGATGTGCAGTATAGTACAGTCAAGGCAACTTGCGTGCGGGTCCACCCTCCTTACGGCCCCGCCTTTTTGCTGCCCTTGTGCCTGCTGTATAGGGGCGGCCGTGCCTGCTGTATAGGGGCGGCGGACTCACGCTTTGTCCCCCCCCCTAACTCTAAAGTGAGCTGGGGGCACGGGTGGGCGGGGGCTAACGCGTGCCAGCGGCCTCGTGGCTCAAGCGGCCGGCCGCCCAGATCTGACTGCACTTCAGCGCGAGGTGTATTATTTGCCATCGATGCCGAAATGCTGCTTGAGATGGCTCGCCCCCCACTACTGGGGCTATCGTTACTACGGTGCAACAGAGCGGGAGCTGGGCTTCGCCTAAGGCGAAGCTGTTGGTTGGGTCTCCCAACCCCTGTCAGACTCGAGAGGCCCCCAGGGGCAGCGCGCCCTGCGCTGCTGCCGGCGGCTCCCTCCTGGGGCCGCGCGGCTGGGGTCGTCAGCTCTCAGCGTTCGTTGGCCATGCGTCGGGCCGCGCCCCGCTGCAGTTCATGCGATTCCCAGAGATAGGCGTGGAACGAGTCCGACGCCCACCTGCCCTATTGCTGGATCTTGGCGATGTCGTCCGTGACATGGTACATCGCAGTGGCCCCGCCGATTCTCCGCGAATGTAAACCGATCTCATCTCGCTTGATGCCCGACGCGAGACCTGCTGGCGCGAGGAAGTGCTGCGCCTCCTCGCGCTTCACCGGCGCGCCCGAGGCCCGCTGGAACAGGGGCAGCCGCGCCTCCGCGCCGTGGTCGAAGCGCTGCGGGTGCTTCGCCTGCATGGCCGTGAGCGCCGTGATCGGGCACAGCGTCGACTGGGTGCCTTGCTGATTGTGCGCGGTCCCCACGTTGTATTGGTCCGTCTTCGATCCCTTGATGTGCAAAACGCGTTCGTCTGCGTGAGCAAACGAGGCGACTCGCTCACCGCTGAATCTCGCCTCCACATCCCCGCCGTGAACCATTCCTCTCCAGCGACAAGGACTTGTCCGTCATCGAGTACTCCAACGCTCGCAAGAGGAACAACAAGGCGAGCATGATGGCTGCGCGCGCGGTGGCTGCGTCCGCTGGGCCGAGGCCTGCGTCCTGATGGATGTGCTGCTTCAACCGCAGCAGCATCCGTGGGGTGACTGGCGTCTTGCGCCGGTGGCTTGGACCTTGGAGCCTCTTCAGGCCAGCCGAAGTCGTCCACGGCCTTCTCCGGTGCAAGAGCGGGTCGCTGTGCCCGACGATCCGGTGCGCATGCCTTATGACGAATAGCTTTTGTTCCGCCGTCCCTTCGGTGCGCGCCAGCGCCGCCGCCAGGGTGATCACGAAGTCGATCAAGGCGTCCTCGTCTTGCGACCTCTCAGCCCTGTCCCGGCCCTGGAGCCGTGGCTCTTTGCCATGCGCTGAGCGGTGGGCCGTCCGCTGGCGCCGCCCGCCTGCGCGCCCGCTCCGGGTGCCTTCGCTGAGCTTCTACAGCATGACCTCGGTCCTCTGGTCGCGAAGCCGCTCTCCGTAGCGTTTTCCACCCGGCACAGGGTGCGCGGGCGCGGGTGGCAGTGCTTCGCGCGCTTGTCCCAGGACCAGCGGATGGACCGTTCGGCCGCCGTCGTCGCTCGCTCTTTGCGGGCCAGCCATGACCTCGCGCTCTTGGGGGTGCGCGGCCGGGCCGCAGCCTTGTCGAGCTGGAGCTCTCCGGCCGCTGGTGGCTTGGCAGGGCCGAGGATGGTGTCTTCGTCGATCCGCTTGAAGCAGATCGCCTGGCCCTTGCGCTAGTTTTTGCAAATGCCCTCGGAGAGCGCCCCCCCGACAGCCTCTCTCTTGGCGAAGGAGCTCGGCTGCCGGGTTGTTGGGGACAATGGCCTAGGCCTTGAACTACCTCTGAGTGGCCTCCCAGGCTGCCTGCTCCTCTGGGTCGTGGCGCGCCCTGACCTTCGCCGCGTCGGAGTCCAGCGCTTGCGCGACCGCCTCGAGCACCGTCCGAGCCGACTCCGGCGGCAGGGCACGCACCGCCGCTCGTAGGAGCGTCTCGGTGGAGGTGCCCTCGGCCACGTGCGCGCCCCGCACCTCGTCGCTGCCGCCTTGGATGCGCCAGACCGCCCGGGCCTTCCCGTGGGCGCCGCCGGTAATGTGCAGCAGTGTCGCGCCGGGTGCTGTGGGCTCCTGTCCTGGCCACAGGGGTGCCGGCTTGGCCGTCTGGGCTATGCGGCAAGTGCTTGGCTTTCTCGATCGTGGTGTGCCCCGCTGGCTTCGGCAGCAGCGGATTGCTCGTGGTGCGGATCTTGGGGCCCAGGAGGATGTCTCCTGGGTTGTCCAGCCAGCCCGCGCTCAGATCCTTCTCCAGGAAGTGCTTGACTCCGTGGGCCACGCCGCGCGCCGGCGGCAAACTAATGCTCGCCAGGCAGTGCGCCGCTGGGCCGCGGTCGGCTACCACCGCTTTCCTAGTCCTCGACGTTGCGCCCCCATGCTCGGAGCATAAGAGGTCGAACGGGGTCAGCGTGTAGCCGAGCTGCTTGAGAGTGCGTTCGAGCCTCTGGACGGACAGTCTCACCGGCGTGTTCACGACGACCACGTTGGGGCGGCCCTGGCCCACTCTGACATGGAGTGCCGCTTCGAAGCTTCTGGGGTCCATCGTCAGGGACGTCGGCGCCCAGGCGGCTGCCTGCCCCTGGTTGGCTTCACGTCCCCCGAGTTTAACGAAGGCGTCGCGACATCCTTGGAGAATGCCGTCCAGCGCGATGCCGATCTGGCCCGCCAATGGGAGGCCGGCCCTGGGTGCAGTGGGCGTCTCGAGCGCGCGGTGCCACAGTGCTGACTCGGCCAGCGGCCCCGTCTCGCCAGGGATCCGCAGGGGCCGGTCCTGGGCATCCGCGGCGATCGAGCCCCAGGCAGCAGGCGGCTCCAGGCGATGCCAGCCGGCTCTCGCGGGCTCGCTGTGCACCTTCTTTACCTCCTCCCTCGTCAGCCAATCTGTCATATCGTTGTGTTATGTGCGTGCGTAGAACTACGTGAGCACGCAGCCGTGCTCGGCCTCGGGCCGCTCGATCTCGCGCAGCAGGTGGCGTGCTGGGGCGCTCTTGGGCCGGCGGTTCGTCAGCCAGGACTTCGCGTTCGCGTTGTCCGTGGCGTAGAAGACCGGCTCGCTTGCCCACAGGTATCCCCTGCAGGCCACAAGTGCCGCGAGCGCTAGGAACTCCACGATAGGGATGATCCGGTCACTCTCCGAGCTCGGCCCGACCACGGCGTCGCTGGGCTGTTCCAGCAATGGCTTCGCCTCCGTCGCGAGGTGCGGGGGCGGGCCTGCAGCCGCGCCGTCTCTGGCGCGTCCCCAGTCCATTGCCGCGATCGCATCCAGGGTCGCGCCCCCTCCTGTCCAGCGTGTGCGGCATGCTACCGTCGGCAGGGCCATCAGCTCGCGAGGAGTCAATCCCGCATGGATGGAAGGAGGTGCCCCAGGCCTCCGGCGCGTCGAACGTCACCCTGGAGAGTTACAGTGCGCGGTCCCATCCCCCCCGGGCTGCTGCCGCGGCGTTTGGGTCGCCCTTGGGGGCCGCCCAGGGAGACCCCCCGGCGACGTGCCCCAGGAGCCTGTCGACCACCAGGAGCTCTGGGCGGATCGCGGGCTGCGCCGAGCTCCAGTGCTGCGCGCACCCCCTCGGCTCGTGGACCAGGCTCGTCGGGGTGCGGCGCTCTCCGTAGGCCAGCTCTGGCAAGGCGAGCAGGCGCTGTGCTGTGATGCAGTTCTGCTCGGGGAGGCGCGTTGTCTTCTTGCTGAAGTTCATGTGCAGCCCCGGCGCCAGCTCCTCGGGAGCGAACTCGCCCTCCTCGGCGAGCTTGTCGGCGTTGACCGCCTGGGGCCCCCAGACGCGCTTCGTGGCCCGGGCGAGCATGTGCCCCGACGGACAGGGGCGGATCCCCGCGAGGGGTTCGAGCACCACTCCGTCGTCCATGAGCCACTTGCTGGCGAAGCTCACCTTGTCGTTGACGGCTGGCGGCGGTGAGCGATGGCGCTCGTGCTCCTTCTTTGCGGCCCAGGCGAAAGCCATGCACTCCCCTGGGCTGCCCGACCTGCCGAACACCAGCACCGAGTGCATCGTCACGACCATCCTGTTGATGCCCACCGCATCTCCTGCCAACGAGGTCCCGAATTCCGGGGCGGGAGCTGGCTCGAGATAGTGCCACTTGAAAGCGCAGCAACGTCGCGCTTGGCACGCAGCTGTGGTACCCCAGGGCGCCGGGCTTCCCACCTCAACGACAGCCTGGCGAGCCGGCGATGGAGTGGTTGCTTCGCCGGCGGGTGTTGCTCCCTGGGGCTGTCCATGGTAGCGCGCCGCATGTCGTGGATCGGGCGGCCTTCTGAGGAGATGGTCTGGTCTGGGTTCTGCTTGGGGACCCGGCCTGAGGGGGACTCGATGACGGCGGAGGCCTCAAGCGCGTCGTTGACGGCCTCCGAGGCCCACAGGACGACGCCGCAGCGGAAGTCCTTCCAGCACTTCTCGAACATCTCTCCAGCGTGGTCTACAGCTGAGGAGTGCGACTTGTGTGCCTCGCGCGTCCTGGTCGTGATCCTCCTCGACGGCGCTCCTCCCTCGGCCATGGCCCGACGGTGATTCCCGTGCTCGGGGCTCAGCGCCGCTTGGAGGTCGTCGGCCAGAACGCCTTCCAGTGGGTTCCCGTGATGCTCCTCGCGCGCCGTCTTCAAGAGCCTGGCTGCCTCTTCCACGGTGCCAGCGGCGCGCGGGAGGTGGCCCCCGCGTCTGACGACCTCCCTCGCGAGCTCGGGCCGGTACTCGGGATGCGCGGCGCACCACGCGACGTATTGGGCTGCCTCAGTCTGGGCCGGCGAGGGCGCTGCGGTCGGCATTTCCACCAGGGGTGGGCCCCCGCGTCGCCCGTCCGTGTCCGGGGGCGGCGGGGCAGCCCGGCTGCTCCTTCCTGGCTCTGCGGGCCGCGCCTTCGGCCTGGGGGGGGGGCGCCGCCGGTGTATGGCAGGTCCATCACCTCGCAGTCGCTGGGCTCTGCGTCGGAGGCGCTGGGCCGCGCGAGCGGATCCTCCCTTACAGGGGGCGCCGTGCGTTCGCCCTCCGGTATGTTCATGGCCGCCTCGAGCTTCGCCAGCATCTCCACATACTCGCTGAGAATGCGCCCCTGCTCACTCCGAGTCCAGCTAGCTGCTAGCTTCCTTAGGCAGCCCTGCGTCGATCTTCTCGATGCCCGCCCTCAGGAGGTTTCGGGCTGCGGTCCTCAGGTCCTCGAGCCTCGAATCCTCGGGGGGCTGGGCGCCGCCCAACATGCGGGAAGCGTAGTTGTTCAGCATTGTCTCGGCGCGGTTACAGATGTCCTCGCCTTCCATGATGAGCGGCGCGGTTGGCTTGGCTGTTTTCCAGGAGGGTGTCAGTTCTGCGCCTGCTCGCCCCGTCGCTCGCGCGGCCATTGACGCAGCCGGCGGCGGATGGGGCGGCCCGTCTGACGAGGCTCGCCCAGCCCTCGTAGTGGCTGGCGGCTCCATCGGTCCCGGGCTGTCGGCGCTCTGGGCGCGTGGGCGCCTGGCCCTCTGGCAGGCCGGTGGCCCCCCTGTGGGAGCTCGATCTTGGCTGGCCTCGTCCCTCTCCTGTTGGCTCACCTCCTCTTCCCTCCTGTGCCGTGCTGTCCGGCGCTCCTTCATCTCGTTGAGCTGGATCTCGAGCATCCGCGCGTTCTTGGCCTCGGACTCAGCGTCGCGCTCGTCCCGCTCCCGCGCCTCTGCTAGCTTTTGTCTGAACTGATTGAGCTTCGCGCTGTCTGCGAAACTGGACGTCCCAGCCGTGGCGGGGGTCGCAGTCTCGCCGGCAGCCGAGGCCGCTGCGGCGGCCGCCGCAGCCGCGCTGAGCTTGCCCATGAGCTCCGGCTCACGACCTGAGAGACCGCGTGATCCGCTATCCTGAGCAGGACGTGACGCTGAGCGTTATGGCCCTTATCTTTGTCTTCCCAAGGGGGTCGATGGCTCTCCTGGCTGCGGCGCCAACGCGACGCCCGGCGCGCGAAGTCCGCCGGGTCGTCGACGCCGAGCCAGAGGATGAGGCGATCGCCTGCCAGTACTCGGGTCTCGTCCTCCAAGGGGGGCCCCTCGGAGCCCGCGGTTTCGTCGTCCTCGGTGTAGAAGAGGTGCATCCCGACGGGCCGGATGACGTGGCCCCTCAGCCAGCGGGGGGTCATCAGCATCATCTTGACATCCAGCGCCGTCGTCGGGGCCGTCTGGATCTCCAGCCGCCGATCGCCGCGCCGCGGGAGGAAGACGCGCGCTGGTGTCGAGGCGCTGTCTTCCTGCTCCTCGTCCCGGGACTTCTTCGGGCGCTTCGGCTCCTCATCCTCTTCGTCCTCGTCCTCGTCGTCCCCGTCGCTGTCGTCGCCGGGTGGGTCTCCGGGACCTGGGGCGAGCCGAACTCTGCCGCGTCCAGCGTTGCTCACTTTCGCCTCGCGCTTCGAGTCCCTGTTGTGCTTCCAGCCCCCGCGCTCGCGGCCGCGCTTGCCTCCGCGCTTGCCGTCGTGCCTGTCGTCGTTGGCCGCTCCCACTTTCTCGCCGCCGACCTCCCCGTCCAGCAGTCCTCCACCTCCATGTCGTCACCGCGGGTCGGCCCGTGGCCCGCGCCCTTTGAGCGCGG